TAATCTAGCCTGACGTGGATTCTTACTGTCTAATTAGGATTAGAGTGATGTGACTCCAATAGCGAGGGGGTTATTCGGCTTTCACTGTGGCCGAATACCCTTCGGGTGTGTGCTGGCCGAAGGGGTACTCGGCCTTCCTGACTTCTAGATAGATGCTTGGTCTATATGGCTTGTTCAAGGGTGGTCGGCTTGCCAAGATCAAAGAGGTGTGTTTTGGTCGGGTATCGAGTACCCGGATTATGGGTAGACCGGAGGTTTCTTTTGATTCCCCAATACATGTAATTATATAAATTCAAATATTTACTTAAAAAAGTATAAATTCGAATTAAGAGAACATACCTTTTTGAATATTATTAAATAAAAATATTTACAAGTTATATATTGAAGTTAGAAATTGTTTCTTATTATTTAAAATATTTTTTTTAATATAAAATCATTTATAGAGAGGATAATTTTTGTTTTTAGTTTATAAAAAATAATGATTTCATATTTCTATATCACACACACACAAAAATATATAAGAGAGACATAGGTGCAAAGTTATTTCAAGAATAATTTTGATAGAATTACTTTACTCAATAACTCATAGTATATATATTAAATTTTATAGATCTAATTGTTAAAGTTTAGAAAAAAAAAAAATATTGTATAAATCAAATTTATAAACTTTTGAAAAACTTAAAAATCATTCAATATTTCATTACATAAATTTAAATTAATATATATTCATTAATAACATGTTATACGTAAATTTAAATTTATGTAATAAAATATCAAGTTATTTTTAAATTTTACAAGATATTGTAAATTTGATCAATATAATAACAAATTCTAACTTAATGATTGGATTGGTAAAATTTAATATTATATATATATATATATATATATTGAGTAAAATAAATTAATTTGTTAAGTATTTAAGAATTTAATTTGTTAATCTTTTATCATTAAATTTTTTTAAGTTACCGAAGAATTATTTTTCATTCTCCACGAACAATGTTTTAGACAGATAATCCGTGAGAAATACTTGTCTAAAACATCATAATTTTTCCACAGAAAAAATCTGTGGGTAACATTCATCTGAAATTTCAAACAGAAAAAATTTGTGGGTATCCTTCGAAATCATTTATGTTTTACACGGACAGATATCTGTCGGAAAAATTCATCGGTAATATCATTTTTCAGATGGATATTTATCCGTGGAAAAAAGTCCGTCGGTAATAAATATTTTTTTTTAGTGTTAGTATTTATCACCAAAAGATTTGGATACTTCAAATACACTTATTGGTTATCAATATATATCATAGATGGATAGTAGAGATCAACGTTGATTGACATAAGTGATAACGAGTTGTACTTTTTAATTAAAATGTTTAGAGTTTGAATCTTAACCTTATATGTGAAATAAATTATATTAAAATAAGAATATTTACATTGTGTGTGCTCATAATTTTTGACAGTAATAATTATTCCTAATTTTTATGGTGAATACTTTCTACCAATATCATAATTAAGAAAAATAAAAATAAAATATAGCAAAATTATATTATAGTCATTCACAACTTCTTCACTATTCTACTACTTTTTCAGATTAAAAAAATGAACTTTTTCAATAAGAAGGCTTGGATTATTTATGAAGGGTATCAAGAAGTATGCAAGGGAAATTTGGGCATCACTTGAAATTAATCCTTGAAAAACTTAAAAATCATTCAATATTTCATTACATAAATTTAAATTAATATATATTCATTAATAACATGTTATACGTAAATTTAAATTTATGTAATAAAATATCAAGTTATTTTTAAATTTTACAAGATATTGTAAATTTGATCAATATAATAACAAATTCTAACTTAATGATTGGATTGGTAAAATTTAATATTATATATATATATATATATATATTGAGTAAAATAAATTAATTTGTTAAGTATTTAAGAATTTAATTTGTTAATCTTTTATCATTAAATTTTTTTAAGTTACCGAAGAATTATTTTTCATTCTCCACGAACAATGTTTTAGACAGATAATCCGTGAGAAATACTTGTCTAAAACATCATAATTTTTCCACAGAAAAAATCTGTGGGTAACATTCATCTGAAATTTCAAACAGAAAAAATTTGTGGGTATCCTTCGAAATCATTTATGTTTTACACGGACAGATATCTGTCGGAAAAATTCATCGGTAATATCATTTTTCAGATGGATATTTATCCGTGGAAAAAAGTCCGTCGGTAATAAATATTTTTTTTTAGTGTTAGTATTTATCACCAAAAGATTTGGATACTTCAAATACACTTATTGGTTATCAATATATATCATAGATGGATAGTAGAGATCAACGTTGATTGACATAAGTGATAACGAGTTGTACTTTTTAATTAAAATGTTTAGAGTTTGAATCTTAACCTTATATGTGAAATAAATTATATTAAAATAAGAATATTTACATTGTGTGTGCTCATAATTTTTGACAGTAATAATTATTCCTAATTTTTATGGTGAATACTTTCTACCAATATCATAATTAAGAAAAATAAAAATAAAATATAGCAAAATTATATTATAGTCATTCACAACTTCTTCACTATTCTACTACTTTTTCAGATTAAAAAAATGAACTTTTTCAATAAGAAGGCTTGGATTATTTATGAAGGGTATCAAGAAGTATGCAAGGGAAATTTGGGCATCACTTGAAATTAATCCTGTTGAGGGTTTAAAAAGACTCGATCAGACGAACAAATTCAATTAGATATAGTACAAGAAAAATGCAAATTTTTTACGGATATAATTCGTCGATAAAAAGAAATATTTGTTGAAAATAGAGAATTTCTAACAGATGCAAATCTGTCGAAAAAAGAAGCGTTGGAAAAAAAATCTATTAAAAAAATTTAATTCATCATAAATTTTTTATAGATATATCTGTCGGAAATTGTTTAAAAATATTTATGTGAAATTTTTCAAAAGGTCACCTATCCTTATATTACTCCAAGTCGGCATGCTTAATTGTGGAATTCTGATGAGATAAGTTACCAAAAAATATATGTATGTTATTAGCATAAGTAGTACAAATTAATTCATTTAAGTCATCTTCAATTATATAATCTCATACTTGTACTATCTCTGGATCCCTCTCATTCCGGTGTGTCCGGACTGTTATAAAAACATAACAATTATATTACCAATAATAATAATTATATTATATTTAATTAATCTTTATTTGTATATATATTTACTTTTATAATTAAAAATCTACCTATTTTTATTTAAAATTAATATTATAATATAATTTAAATTATTAATTATAAATTAAAAATTTAAATAATAAATTATTAATTAACTTAATATATTTTTTTATCTTAAATCTAAGATATAAAATTAAAAAAATGTATTTATCCTTATTTTATTTTCTAATTATCAACCATTAATAAAATACTAATTTAAAATCTTATCTAATTATATCATAATACTTTCATATCAAATTTAAAATTAGATATTAGTTACACAAAAATATCAAGATCATATAGTAAATTGTCAATAAGATTCTAGTCAAATAATTTAAAATATTTAATTTTTCAACTATATTGCTGGCAAATAATTTATTCCCAAGCTAATCAATTTTTTTCTATATTAATTATTAGTAAAATTTAATAATTTTTACTTTAACAATTGGATTAATGAAATTTAACATACACCATGAGTTATTGAGTGAAGTAACTTTACCAAGAATTACTTTGTGAGTCATTTGATTCCTCCTCTCTCTCTCTATATATACATATTAGAATATATATATATATATATATATATATATATATATATATATATATAATTTATTGATTTTTTTTAATATATGATTGTCAATTTTCATAAAAAATTCTTACATTTTTGACAAATATAAATTTGTCAGAAATATTTCATTGGTAATATAACTTTTCCTATAATTTTTTTCCATTAGAAATATATATTTTTTAACAGATTTGTATTCGTAAAAAATTATCCGTAAAATCTATCGGAAATATAAATTTTACTACAAATTTATATCTATTAGAAATTACCGATGATTATATCCGTCGAAAATATAAATTTTTTGACAAATTTATATCTATCGGAAATATAAATTTTTCGACAAATTTGTATTCGTAAAAAATTATCAATCAATAAAATCTATCAAAAATATAAATTTTTCGATAAATTTATATCCGTCGAAAATTATTCATCAGTAATATAATTTTTTTTATAAATTTTTTTTCTATCATTAAATTCTGTTAAAAATATAAATTTTTCAACAAATTTATATTTATTGAAAATTATTTATCAAGTAGTATATTTCTCCAACAGAATCATCTGCCAGGAAAGATGAAACATGAAATCTCATATACCCATTAAGCCAGGGATTATGCTTTGGTGTCTTTATTAATTAACGCTAGAGATTATAACTGATAAATAACCTTGGCTGAAATCTTTGGCGAAATGGAAGAAATAATTGGTGATATTCTGTGGCAGAAGAGGTTATTTCATTCTTGCAACATATTTCAACATTTTCTTTCAAAAAAAAAGTTTCCCATGATTTTTATGCTAACAAATTATAAATTAAACATCAAGCACAAATTATCAATAAGTCATAATAGTTTTATTACTAAAAATAATCATCTAGGCACTAGCTAGCTTCTTGATGAAAACTAGTGCGTTGCACACAAATATATAACAACGCAGTGAAAAAAAAAATGATTACAGGTTTACAAGCGCAAGTGCAAAATGCAAACGGTGCAGGTAAGAATTTGGTGTTTGTCCTTATCGAGAAAAAAGATGAACATAAAGACTGCAACCAAACACAGATCTCGGTTTGAAACGAGGAGGAGTCAACACATATGTCCACGTGGGCAGCGTTGAGCATTTCACAAACCTAGGTGTCACCCTTATTTCCCCGGGCCATGCAAAATGACCCATCTTCGAAGCCTCAAAATATTATTATAAGATATACATGATCCTTATTGTGTGAAGTGAAGAATATATAATAACATAACCTTGCGAAGTGGATCAAGGTGACAAAATCGTTTGCAAAGACCAGCAGGGTCATTGACAGTCTCATTAATTTGAAAACCCTACTACTTCAAGTGAAACTGAAATGGCAACTCGAAGATACGAGTTTGGAAGATCCGATGAGGCTAACCACCCAGACACCCTGAGAGCCACCTTGGCTGAGTTCATCTCCACTTGCATCTTTGTCTTTGTTGGAGAAGGCTCTGCCCTTGCTTTGAGTCTGTATACCATGCAACATGCATATACTCATATATAATAATCTCTGCATGTTACTTTTCCTTGTGATTTATTTAGTTATGTTATGTGCATGGTTGTTATTGCAGGACAGATTTACAAGGAACCAGGTTCCTCAGCGGGTGAGGTGGTGGTGCTGGCACTAGCTCATGCCTTTGCTCTATTTGCTGCTATTTCTGCCAGCGCGCATGTCTCTGGTGGACACGTCAACCCTGCTGTCACTTTTGGTGCTCTTCTTGGTGGCAGGATCTCCCTCCTTAAAGCCATTTACTATTGGGTTGCTCAACTTCTTGCTTCTATAGTCGCTGCCCTCTTGTTGAGGCTTGTCACTAACAACATGGTATGCTACAAATTTAAATACCATCTCTATTCTGATATTTTTCTGTTTATGTGTAATTTGACCAAGTATCTGGTTAGAGCTTCTCTTCTTTTAGAAAAGCTTTTATGTGTAGTAATCTTTTGGAAGTTTTTCTATCCAAATATAGAAGCAGTCTGTATTCAAACAAACAAACACTATTCTTGAAAAATTAAAGGCATATATGGCATGAACCTTGCTTATGGAAACTGAAAATATGATAAATGAGAGTAGTGACTATATATAATAAATTGTGGTTGGATGTTACAGAGACCAGAGGGGTTCAGTGTGTCGGTGGGCGTTGGAGCGTTTCACGGTTTTGTACTTGAGATTGCCCTCACATTTGGTCTCATGTACACAGTCTATGCTACCGCTATTGATCCTAAAAGGGGTTCAGTTGCCTCAATTGCACCCTTAGCCATTGGACTCGTTGTTGGGGCTAACATCCTCGCTGGTGGCCCGTTTGATGGAGCATGCATGAACCCTGCTCGGGCTTTTGGGCCTGCCTTGGTGGGCTGGAGATGGGACAACCACTGGATCTTCTGGGTGGGCCCCTTGATTGGGGCTGCTCTGGCAGCACTCCTCTATGAATTCGTTATGGTCCCGATTGAGCCTCCTCATGCTCATCACCAACCTTTGGCTTCTGAAGATTACTAGTTAATTTGGCTACTATGAAATATACCTATGTATGCCTCTGTTTTTTTCCTAGTCGTTTTCTGAGGTCTTCAGATCGTGTATGCATTTTTCTTTGATGCTGGTTGGGACTTTGGAGTATCAACCCCATAAACTTGTTCAGTGTGTACATCTTGTCCAAGGGATGATGAATAAAGTGCACTTATGTAATAAAATTAACAAAGTTGAAGGAAATAAAACATTAATTATATACAAAGCTATAGATAGGCTCGTTGCATCGTGATCTAGGATCTTTTTAAGAAAAGATAACTTATGTTTCAGTAATTTTTTTTTATCAAGATAACTTACATAAGCACACAACAATTGCCTCAAAACTTTGTTATTATTTTGTCTTGCTCAATTCGAAGGATATTTTGGATAAAAAAATACATAAAGGGGAAGGGAATATGTTTAAAAATTGGGGGTTGCATTTAAATTCTTCACATAATTGTAAACATGACACTCGGATGTAATGCATGTTTACTTTGGCGATTTGGATACACGCCAACTTAAAGCAGCACAGGTTTGATTTTGCTCTATTGGCTTGCTTTAATGTAAATCTGCAAAGAAAGGTGCATCTTGCACATTGATCCAAACATGCACGAAATCAACCTACCACTATATGCTGAAAATATCTCCACTACATTGAACAACTTTCAAGAATATGTTGTCATCGCTTTACAAATTACAATAACTAACGATTTTGTAAAAACGAATAATAAGATTCTTACTAATTAATAAGAAATTTTAATTGTTTTTACTTAATTATGTTATATTATGCAAGTTAATGGGTGTAATTTTGTTAGCTCATTTTTAATATTAATTCTTTTATATAAGAAACAAATAGATTATTATTGTTTCAATTATAAGAAATATAACCACGACGTAATATTAAAAAAGGAGCGAGTGTATAAACTTTGAAGTTGATTTTTTTTAATGAAAACATTGAAGTTGAACTCTGCCAGAAAAAGAAAATAACAACGGAGCAAAAAAATGCGACAGTAAAATATAAACCAAGTCAAGAAGATATGGTTACTAAATAAATAGTGATATCACAAGCGAAACCAGCTTATGAAATACCTTTTTTATATGGACATTTTCTACTTATTATATATTTTTAATTAAAGTTGCGTCAAGTGTAAGAAAGGAAATTTTGTTTCTAAACTGTTATAGGAAAATTCAACCACAAATCAATTCCTGAGCTTATTCAACAAGTGTTACATGCACCAGAGAGGGATGCATGATCATTCACGGCCGAAGTTTCTGTTTTGTACAGCCAAATGACATGGAATTTACGATTCTTGTATCCCAAAAGAACAAAAAGTGGAAGAAAAAGTAGCAACAGAATAAAGCATGATAGTACGTATTGAAGGATAAGCATTGGTATGTGTATCAGATTCATTGTAACAAACATTCTCTCCATAACTTGCCAACACATTCTCTTCCTTTTTCTTCACACACACACATTGACCTATATATTTATATATACATGTAGTTCTATGGCAATTGAAACGGTGCTTGTCTTTTGCATCCTTGTGGTGTTGAAGTTGAATGCAAGTGCTTCGATTAATATTGGTGAACAAAACTGCACCGTGTCCAGAGAGAAAGTTGGGAGCAAAAAAGAAAATGGACTCGGCCATACACCCCCCATGGGGTAAATTAGTTAACCCTCTATCCTTTTTATTTATCCCTTCTTTCTCCTACTTTATCTAATAATCATTTGTGGTGTATTGAAAGGTGTCTTATCTGAGAATGTGACTTTATCTAATAATCATTTGTGGTGTATTGAAAGGTGTCTTATCTGAGAATGTGTTTAAGTGATTCCATAACATAATATTCTTTCAGCTAAATTCATGAAAGTGTATATATAACGTGTTACGTACTTGTGAATTGAACAGATGAATAGCTGGAATCATTTCGTCGGTGATATTATTGAAAGTTTAACTCGAGGAACAGGTATGTTCACTATTCCAAAGTTATAATGTTTACCATTTCAGACGTATATATATAGTATGAACTTATGCTATCATATTTCTTCATTGTTTCAGCTGTTGCAACGGTGTCACCGGGCCTCGCTGCTTTGGGGTACAAATATATTAATTTAGGTACTCGTCGTCTATTATTAGTGGTATTCATCACATTCACATATTTCATATCTAGCAAAACTTTTACATTTTTTAATTCTAACCATTTTAATAATATTATATTTCATGATTTCTAGATGACTTTTGGGATCCTTTAATTTTGTCTTTCACCTTTAATTTATATGCTTAAAATCTAAGTGCAAGTTAATTTAAATTTTGTAGATTATAATCCATTTTCGATACCATTAACAAATTTCAAATGATGTTAGGGAAATATGGTTCCAAAGGATTCAACATTTCCTTCTGGAATTAAGGCTCTAGCTCATTATGTTCATAGGAAAGGTTTAAAGTTGGGGTTAGATTGAAATTTCACTACCGGACTACTTTTTAATGCATTTATCTCATCGAATAATCACAAAGCGTATAACACAATTATACAAACAAAACAATATACCCCTAAGTAAAAATCATTTGTTTGTGTGTCTATAAACAAACTTACAAATTCATGTGCAAAATATGTCAAAATTTTCAAACACGTACGGGCTCTTAACAGATATGTCATGTGGCAGGTGTGGGCAGGTCCTCTCAGTGGTAACAAGGTAGCAGTGATCTTATGGAACAGAAGTTCATCAAAGCCAACAGTGACTGCATCCTGGTCAACCGGGAACTATAGTTGAGAGATCTATGGGAGGTAAGATACTTAGACTTGTTTTGTCTTAACAGTGTAGAGCATTTTAGGTTCCTATGATTTTGAACATGTGTAATGAATTCTGCAGCACTCAACACAAGCATTTGTTTCGACAGAAATATCTGCTGAACAAGATTCACATGCTTGTAAGATGTATGTCCTGACCCCCAGAAAGTGCTAATTTCAAGTGGCAGAGGAACACATGAAATAAGCTTTTCAGATTTCTATTGCCTCTGAATCACTTGAAATTCACGATGCTGAAAGCACATCAAACACATGCAATTTTATTTTTTTCAATGCAATAGTAAAATACGTAGAAGGTAAAGAGGGAGAACGCGGTGATCTAAGAAGTGACAACAAACAGAGAGATTTTTACTGTGAATAAAAGTGAACGTGTGAACATGAAAAAAATACACCATTTTTAAATTCTGCTTGACGTACAACGTTACGACACTTGGTTTCAACAGAACTTGAATTGCGTTTAAGAAGTAAAACTTCCACAATAATTATCTTCTTAAACGTTTTTGCATACTAATTGATTCGTTTATAAAAAGTCAGTTATTTCCACAGTGCCCCACCATCACACAGCCAGTTGAGTCAAAGAATTGAAATAGTGTAAATTTTAAGCCATGAAGAATAACAGCAATCTTGTAACAATTACTTTTTTTCCCCCCAAATTGATAGGAATCTTCTTATCGCACCTCAAACGATATTACGTCACATAATAAACACATTTTGTATGCGAGTTTATGAAGCTAGAAATTTCAATTTCATGAAGGGCTTAAAAGTGATAGAGCGACTACGAAGAATCTTCGTATAGTTTCTTTCAATTAGAACTGGAATATTCATTTCATGATTTAAACTTCAACCTAACTCTACAATCCATTTGATAACTCAAGTTGGACGCGGTTGGTCAATAAAATAGGCGTTTAACAGAAACGGCATAAAAATTATAATACAACTAAGATATTTCTCAAATATAAAAGTGAGCATGAATCTATAGAACTCGACATTAAATGAATTTTCTAATGTTTTTGTGGGTTTGAATTAGACCAAAACCTAAATTTTAAGAGTTCTATTAAGATTTTGATCGTCTAAGCAGCCTGAAAATATAAAAATAAAACTCATTTAATGAAACAATATCAGATGCCACACATTCTGCTTTTGCATGGATAGTACTCGTCTTTCGTATCATCAACAGATCATAAACAACATATACATTCTGTCATTTACCTGGTTTATATTTCTCATGGTCCTCGCATCTTTTCAACAATGTGCCTGCTCTTTTCTTCAATGTGACGCCTTTTCTCTTCCAATTTCTCGCTCATCTTCTTCCCCAAATCAAGCATTCTTTCCCTTCTCCCCATTTTCTTTGGAAGCCCATCTTCCTGTTCAATAGAATGATTTCGTTTCTCCATCACCACACTACCGTGTTGTGATTGGGACTCAGAATTATTCTCCATATTTTGTTCAGTAGTTTCGAGTAGTCTGTCATTCTGTACCATTGATGTCCTAAATTCTTTCAAATCTGTAGATTTTTGAGGTTTGTCATTCTCTAACAATGGTGTATTCAGTTCTTCCAAACTACTGCTGCTTTCTAGAGTTACTGAATTAGAGGAACTTAATGGAAATGCTAGAGAATCTGATGATTTGTTTGTTGCTTCTTGACAAGATTCAACATTCCTGGGATTTTGTTGTTTGTGCTCTGGATCATTATTTGAGGTGCTTGCGCCAGCTTCCGACCTAGCTTTCACTTCTTCATAAGGTTGATTATTGGTATCAATCGAAGTGGAAGTCTCGTTTCCAATTTCTTGGTTAATCCATATGAATGGAGCAACAGTTCGAGGAACCCAATCATCCTTTTCTGCTAACATCCATGGGATGCATACACTTTCACAATTTGGGAGCACTAAAGTTTCCCGAATTCCAGTCTGCAGGAGCAGAATTAAATTCAGTTTGCAAGTGCAAGTGAATGCTGCTGTTATACTTTCTAAAGGGATAAAAGTTTAAACACATTTCACAATCTGTGCTGCAGTCAAACTTTATAAAGAGATATGAAGTTTAAACACATTTCACACAACAGAGAGATATTCGAAAAACCAGAATTCTATGGCTACTCACTTAATAGAAAGGTGGACAGAATGAGAGAACATTTAAGCACTTACAAGAAGTCCATATAAATTGACAGATGGAGGAAAAAGAAAATTTTAAGATCTTTATATATAATTAATTAATGATGTTGATAAAAAAATATTCTTAAATAGTTGAAAAAAAAAAGAAGAAAGAAAAACCACATGCAAATGAACAAAATATATCAAATTTGAAAACACTAATAAAAAACAGCAGGGAAAGTGTAGTCTATACTTGAATTCTTTCAATAAGTTATGAATTAAATGGAAAGACAGACAGTCGTACCTTTAGCCTATTGACTAGGAATAAAGCAAAGTGTGTATTAGTTATCTTATGTTCTCCAACAGATGACTCCAAGTTGAAATCGATATCTGGCATTGATGTGAAACCATACCACAATTGATCAGAGGGAGGTGGCTTTATATGCAACCGCAATGTCCCTCTGAGGGAAGCCACTCTTATTGCCAAAGAGAGAGGAACCTTTTGATAAGAAATAATCCGTTACTTTGAGAATAAAACAACTTCAGTTGTTTATGAACTGATGACTAGTTGACTACATAGAAAGTGGAAAAATAGAAACCTAAAACTTCTGTACATTATCAAATATTTGAATGTTCCTCCGTATGAATGAATAAGAAAATACTCAAAGAGGTTAAACACTACACATACAGAAACTGTCAAATATTTGCCATATCCTGGACTTTTCCAGTGGCATTGTAAATTGTCAAAAGTCCAAAGAGGTTAAACACTGTGCATACAGAACAGACAAAAATGAAAGTAAAGATAACATACAAAATTAGAGTCAAAACATCGATCAATGCACGTTAATATAAGATTAGTCTTGAAGAAATTCAAAGGGATATATACACCAAAATTCATTAAAAGCAAAAGTCAAATTTACTGAACCAAATTTCCTTTTGTATAAGATTGACTGTTTGCTCTCAGCATATAGATGCCAGTATGTCCCCTGAATCATAAGAATAGCTTATGGGTTGTCTTGTCTGAGGATTAGTTAGGAAGAATGAAAGAAAAATTTGGTGGAAATGCATAGTGGTTGGTTTCAGTTCTAACAAAGCCTTTGAAATTCCAGAGCATCAAAGGGCAACTATTAATCACGTTCCTATATTATTATAAAAAATTTCATTAATGCTTGGAGTTGATTATTTAGGGCAGGTATACGTTTATGAGAAAAAAAAAAAAAAAACTATACAGGATATGCGTCTGGATAGAGAGGAGATATCTATCAGACAAAAACTCAAAAAGTAACAATAGAGTAATTCAGTATAATATCTAACATTGAAGGGGCCAGATGGAGCTTAGTCGTTAGTGTAATTTACTAAAACCAGGATCTTTGGTCCACAGATTAGAACCATACAAGAAGATTGGGCACCAAAATATAACATAGTGAGAAACTGGAACTTGGTTTAACTATGTAAAAGTCATCATACATACTATTTAACCCAGAAGAAAGGAAAAAAGTGATACATCCATTTAATACAACCACACAACATTACAAAAATAGCAAAACTCCTATAATGAAGAAACAGACTGCAAAAAGAGTAGTGGGCAGAAGCAACCAATGGAATAAAGGAGGTAAAAATAAACAGAGGGTACCTGTGAAACCTGTTTGGCAACAGAATTTAATATAGATTTCCATCTTGATCCTTGATTTAGGGAAGACATGGTGCTCTTAAAGCTCTTAGAAACATCTGCTTAGAGAAAAACAAGATACAAATCCCAATATCAACATAAAACTTTTACAACTTCCTTGCCATTGTTTTAATTGGAAAATCTTGCGAACTCATAAAAGGCACTGCAAATGGTATAACATAGTATTTCGAAGCCCTAGTCCATAATCTCCATCTACCTGTGTACTTAGTTTATAACAAGTGGAAATTGTAGTAACTATGGATGTGGCAAGTGCTAACAGCCTTGGAAAGTTGTATGACCCTAGGTGGCAGATACATTAGACATCCTCTTAGGCAATCATCAAGTTCAAGTGAGATTTCAGGAAGTAAGAAAAAGAGCATAAATAATTGAGTTCGATAGGACTCAAAAGATAAAGTTCATAAATAATTAGACTTGATAGGACTCATGTACTAACCCGTGTTCATTTCACCATTTTCTTTTTGCTCTTGTAAATCATTTGTTCTTTCTGCAAAATTAAATTGTTTTCCAATATATTCAAAACCTTCAAGAAGATCTGATGGGGCATCTCCAGCACTGTTTGTCTCTGGATTTGAGTCCAGGGTCCCTGCCTGGAGCTCCAGTTCACGAACCTCAAGTCTTGTTTCAATCTCTAATAGTGCACCTCCAGAATATTCAATGTCAACCTCTACAGCCCATACCTCGCGCATTTCCATAGGAAGAACCCTCATTCCTGTAATGCAAGGTGGAACATTCCCAGTATTGATATTGTTACAGATGACTTCACCAATATAACTAGGAGTTCTCATATTGGACAATGATTTCTGCCAAAAAAAAAAAAAAAAAAACATCATTTATCACATAGAAGTTTTCATTGGGGGAGTTCACTGTAAACAAACAGAAATAATCAATATTTATCTTGTGAAAACCATAACAGAATGATGGGTACAAACAAGTCTTGCAATCAACTATTTCTTTCACATTGAAAATTATAAAGGATAGCATCTTCTATATTCTTAATGTTTTTAAGCTTAACAGAGTCCTGCTTGTACCAGTAAACTTGAGGTTTAGGAACTAACAGCAATGGAAAGGATTTCATTCAGAAAGACATTAATATCATGTTTCGGACATGAATAAGCAAATATTATTAACTTAATTGATAAAAGATGCTAGAAACTGATACTTAGGAAAGGATTTCATTCAGAAAGATATTAATATCATGTTTCGGACATGAATAAGCAAATATTATTAATTTAATTGATATAAGACGCTAGAAACTGATACCTAGATAAAATGGTACTTTTTTTCACAAAAACATAATAAAACTCATGCACGATAAAGTAAATCACAAATAGGAAAAGCTTTAACCTGAATCCTTTCTAGCATAGATCTCTTCAACTGCTCATTTCCTTTGGCATCAAAAAAGAGCCGGGAAATCAACAAATTCCAGCACAAAGTTCCTTCATCAATACCAAACTTCTCATCAGCATCTGCATCAGAGCTGACAGAGTGAAGACTCTGGCTTCCTGAATGAGATGACTTAGAAGATAATAGTGGAGAATCGTCTACCATGGAATTTTTAAGATGCTTTGATGTTGAAGCAGTCTTCAACAAACCAGTAGCCAAAATAACATCTTGACAAGCACGAAGCTTCTCGGTATTCTTTTTCCCTTCATTACCTGACAGTGAAGTCCACGTTGATATATTTTCCAAGCCAACTCGGGAAGTTCTTTTAGCAACCTTTTTCAAAAATTGACGAACCTTTGAAGAAGAACCATCAGGCTTGCTAGCCCTTTCTATTACCTCAACACTTGATCCTATAGGTGGTTTCATCAAAGAATGGTATACAGAATTCAAGGATGTCAGATAACTATGAAACTCTTCATCCAACTGGGTAAACCATTTGATTTTTTCCTTTCGATCACATGAAGCCAGATAGAGGGCCTTACACCATGCTTCTTTCTCCCATGAAGTGTCAAGATATATATAAATAGTTTTGCTTCCGTTGTATATTACAGATGTTGGGTTTTCCACTTTGATAGGGAACTTCTTTGCCCTGTAAGATTCATCACCAATCAAATAAGAACTTGAAACAGCTAACTTCCTCAATAAATGACCAATAGTTATAATAAAAAAATATCTCTCCAATATTGACTTACAATACCCAAAATCCAAGCTATCACAAATACAAGTTACTTTTTATTTTAAACAATATGCAAAGCACCGAGGAAATGAGACTTCTCCATGTCAAATTAAATATCAAGGAAGCCCAAAAAAATAAACCCACCTTTTACATAGTCTAGGCTCTAAGCATATATAAGTGGAACGGCTATTCTAGCATAATCAATTAAGAACCATATTGTCAGCAACTTGTAATACTGCTCAAGGATGATACCAGTGATTTCACATGCATAATAGCTAAGCATTCAAAGAAATTTTTACCCAAAGAATGTTAGCAACACTCTCTAACACTTTCTTTATTATTGGCTGGAAATTTATTGAAAATCACAAATTTTGTGGATCTTTCATTTCATTTAATGAGTTTCTCTCTTGATTTAATGGCAAGATCCACAAAAATTTTCAATCAATAGTAGAGAAAGTGTTGTTGCCATTTCTCATTTTACATTAGCTCCTAGCTAGGCAGTAAGTGGATTTGAGAAACATATTCATTATGGTAATTCCTGCCACCTGTTAGAGTATTTTGACACTTCCTGTCTTCACATTCCTACTATTGAGGCTCATTCATACATGCATGTACAGTAAATTTAAAAAAAAAAAAGAAAAAAAAAAGTGATGGTAATAGAAGTGGAAAACACAAGGGAAGTGGTGAGAGACCAAAAAGAAGGAGGAAGAAGAATGCATACAAAATTCACCTAACAAAAAAGAGCATGTTAGAAAGAGTATGATACTAGTAGCATTTGTCACTGGGTAAATTGGAAAATAAGATACTCCCTGCCACTTCTTGGGAACCCATTGGCCATGGAACGGCCTCGACAACAAATAAGCATTTATAGTCAAAAGCTGGTCATTGGTCACAGTAATGTTGCCAGTTATTGGTCACAAATAATAGCACCCAATAGAAGTGCCTCCCACACACCACATTACCATTTTCTTGAAGAAAGTATCGATGCTGACACAGCTTGAACTGCACAGCCCTTGAGTTCAATCGTCGTGTGCAAACCATCAGGTTCCCTCAGAACAAGCGACTGACCCTTGATTTGTCCATACATCTTAACAGGGGAAACCTCCAAGATCTCCTTCCTTTTTCGCTCTCTTGACAGATTTGAAATTTTCCCTGATTCTAGAACCCAAACCACACCCTGAAAAAGAGCTCCAAAATTTAAGGGAACAGACGTGATCAAACAGGTAGTTCTCGTGAAACCAATCTTTACCCCCACATATATAGTTAGTGTGGTCCAAGAAGCTTTAAAACGTGAAACTCCGGAACATTAAAACACTACACACAACCATACACAGATATCCTGGATTTTTCCCAAACTAAGCAAAAAAAAAAAAATTCCTTTTCCAAAATTTTCAACAATTTATTCAATGAGATCATTTTAACTAATTGTATAATAATCAGTACACGGGCCACAGAAGCACGAGGTTTCTTTCAGCAGCCCAAAAAATTACTTATTCAAGAAAGCTATGTATAATGTAACATTGTAACCAATAGTTTTTCATCATAAATCATTTAAACCAGAAGTGAGCAACTTCAAATGCATTATTTCCATTTCGGAATTTCAGCGAAGTAAAAGCAAGTGCGCGATCGCATGCTTTACATTCAGCTTTGTCATTTTCCCCGTGAAGCGAGAACCAATTAACGCTAACCTGCTTTCTAAACGCGAAATCCAGAGACTGTTGAGGATCAAGCAGTGGAGTAGCAAGGGTTTGGGAGGAGAAGCAGGCTTCATCACTGTTGATCTTGTGACGCAACCGTTTCATGATCCACAACAACCCCAGAGCTTCCGCAGCAACAACCGCCACAACCCCGAGACCGAACCCAACCAGAATCAAACCCAAAACCATAGCCTTTGAAACCAACGGAGAAAAATAAAATGGATAGTTAAGAAAAATGGGAAAGTTTACGACTCGTGCTCTATAAGTAGTGAGAGAGAGAGAGAAAGAGGAAGCAAGCGCGTTGATGTGACAGAGACACGTTCACGAGCTATTATTCAATTCAGCCATAAGTTATGACCAAATCTTACTCAATGATTTGATGAATTTTATTTTATTTTATTTATTTATTTATTTATGTGGTCCTCCTCGCTATCCAAATTGACCTACCAAAGGTTGCTTTCATGCCATATTTTTCTTCTTATGTCTCCCGAATTCAAGGCAATTCATCTCACGTGCTACGTTGCAATAAAGGAGAAGAATATGATATGCGAAACTCAAATATTTAAAGGAAAAAAAATATTATACTAAAAAAAGAGATAGTAATAAATTAGTTTCCTAAAAACTTTTGTTACCTTTAAAAGTAGCCTAATAAAAAAGATTGAGGGGGATAAAAAAACATAACCCGGGTAAACAAAACTGTACAGTGCTCAAGTGCTATACATCATGCTTTTGACATATAACCTCGTTTCCTTAGTGTTTCACCTACGGGGCCTCTGATACCGAAATCAGAGTACTGATTACTGAACTAAGTAAAGGGGGGGTGAGTTAGTGATGGGATTTACAAGGTAGGTCTGAGTTTGAAGAATTTGAAGTCATGGTGGTCAACGTTGAGGTTCTTCAACCACAAGTCTGCAGCATTATACAGATCAGGCACTCTTGGATTATTGGAGGGGTTTGACCACATATCTTTCCGCATTTTGTATGTAGCTAGCCCAAATGGAGACAGAGGTATGCAGCCACTCTCTTTTTTCTTGCATTTCTCTCTAATAATATTTCGCCACCCAGGTAAATAACTTGTAATTTTCCCCGAGTCAATTTCATCGCATTTGATTGCACAATCTGCAAAACAAATAAGCAAATAGTTATGAACTTGAAACTAGTGAATGTGAAGCATGTGTCACACTGATCAATTATTGCATGCCAAACATATCTAACACAATCACGTAAAATAATATGAACACTTTGAAAATTCAAGGATGTAAATAGTACAGTGCTTAGTTCCTTCAGAAACACAATGAATACATGATAATTTGTGAAGTATAAGAAAAAAATACTCATGATTGACTCATACCTTGGGAAGGAGATGACAGTGCATGGAAAGTGAGGAAGCTTGCTGCCAGGTCCTTTTTATTTTTCTGACATGGTACAGAATAGATTGGGTACCTACCCAGTGATAACGAGTATGAGATCTTTCTATCATGGAATCAAACGGAAACTAGAGATCTAACTACAAGTAAATATAAAGTTCACAATATCCGCAAAAACAAAATTGATTAAAAACATTTTACATACGTGATTATGAAAAACGCACAACCAATAGTTGAGCAAGAAAATACTCTTTCACCAACTTCATTTCTATATCATTCAGAAATAGTGTTGCAAATCAATTTTAACTTGAAGTAAATTAAAAATAAAATAGCATTTGTGACAACACAGACATCGACCGCAAGTTATGTTTGAATGACACAGAAATTGCAGCAAAAATAATCAAGAAAATGGTTCTTAAAAGCTTATTGAAAATGCAAAACTTTCCTTCACAACTTTATCCACTCGTGCAAGTGGTTCTTATAAAACTAATTAGCTTTCTGCTCACTAAGCTATTTATCTACGAATTCTTAGAGTTAAAAACAAGGCTAGTTTGTCACCAGATGCACTCACTTCCTAGATGTAGAGTTCATCTTCAAAAACAAAAAAATTTCAGTACAATAAAAACAACTAATTCTGCTCACCAAGCAACAGCCATCCAACTTGATGGGGAAATATCCACACTCCTCAATGTCATTAATGCTGGATGGCTTCTGCTCAACTCAGATATCTGAAACAAGAAACATCAGCATACGTGCATCGTTTAAGAGAACTAAAAAACCATATTCATTTGTATCACTCAAAAAGACTACCTTCTCAGCAAATGGAACCCTTTTGTAAGGTGGAGATGTTTCATTATACTGTAAGTAAAGGTAGTCATCATCCTTTGTTGGCCATGAACCCGCTTGGTCAGAGCTTGAATCCGAATCAATATCCCATGCTTTGCTAGAATTGTTACTCAATGATCTAGATAGGTTATCACTTCCACTATCGTCACTCCAGGAATCACTTTCAAATTCAACTCCACTATCGTCTCTCCGAATAATCCTAGAAAATAATGACATGATTCACATCATTTGTTAACAAATTTTATCAAATAAGCATATAGTGCTGTTTTATACACACCTAGAAGCAGATTTATTGGTGTAGATTTGGATAGCAGACAGATATGGAACATAGTACTGCATCACAGTGTCACCACTGTCCAACATGAGAGGAATACCAGCACCATATGCACTCCATTCATTGTAGCAATCCCATAGATCTTTCAGAGTGATGTATGCAATTGTGTCCTTGCTAAGAGGTAAGGATTGACCAGTTGCATCACTACAGCAGCTCTGTAAAATACATGATAAAAGGAACAAAATTTAAGAAAACGTGTCGATAATGTCATTGCTATCTTTCACTAGGATGAAATGTGAATTATTTTTTTACTAAGAGGGTTGGAGGAAATAGAGATTGCTATGAAAACTGTTTCACATAAAGTACCATAAGAATGAGTAATCAGTAAGGGCAATTTTTCCCATGAATTTCCTAGACTCCTACCCACTTGAAGTAACATGTGTCGAAAATATTTGCTGGGAAGAAGAATCATCGTGTCTCGTCTTTTCGAAAATAATAACATTACAATTAATTATAAATACGACTTTTTTTATTTTTAATTAGTAATATTAAATGTCTTTTTAGATTTTTATTTAATATTAAAAGTGAGTCAAACTTGTTATTTAATTTTAACTTTTCTATTTTTTAAGTCATAATTTTTTTTTCAATTTCATGGTGGGTATGAAATCAAGAATTAGAGAATGAAGGCAAAAATATATATCCAAGAGATTGAAAGCGAAATTAAAAGAAATCATCTCTTTGTATAAATTAACTATAACGAACCATAATATTTTTTAAGAGTTATTTTTAACAAGAACATCCGTAAAGATTTTTCTTAATTTCTCATCTATTTTGAATTCAATTAAACTTTTTCATTTTTAAATTAAATATTAACATTTTTAAAATAAAATATTAGTTATATAAAATAAATGTTTATCATATAAATAAATAACACATGCTAAAAGAAAATCAAAAAAAGAAAAGAGGAGGTACTCTGCACAGTGCACAGTACTATATCATGATTCTTATTAGTCACCATCACCCATAAGCTAAAGTGAAGGCACAAGAATCCCATGGCATGCAACTTCTAAAAGAAACTCCGACACTTCATAACTATGCTTTGGTCCTAACTGACAGACACAGACCAATTGAGTAACAATTCAGCAAACTAGCTAATGTTTTTTCTCTGTAAAATTACATCTCACAGAACCCCCATCCACACCAAAATAATTTCACAAAATCAATTTTAGCCAATTAAAAAAAATTGAATTCCTTGGTAGTTAACAAAATTATGCAATTTCTGTTGAAATTACAAACCATAACAACATTATGTCTTTTCTTTTCCAAGGAGGCAATTGCCGAAACTAACCAAATCAATTTTTTTAAAACTGTTTTAAAATAGTTATATAACAAATTTTCCGGATTATAATAAGGAATAATGCATGCGAATATAAAAGGGCCTAAAAATGAAAAATATCTCAATGCGACGGCATCTAGGGGATATTCCTTAAAAGACCAAGGTCAAAATGGAGTCATTTGACCCACACTTAATTATTACGATTTGTGTGTTTTTTATCTTAAAAGTCAGACTTTTAAGACTATTTTTGACACACAGAAAACAGTCACTGTTTTGATATTTATTTATTACGTCCATAGATAATATAATTAATTAATTTTAATAAAAGAGTTATCGGTTTCTAATTTTCCTCCTCCGTTATCCTATCCTGAGATATCGAAATCCACAATTATTCAGATTCAGCAGCGTGTTACGCTGAGAAATTCAAGGGAAGAGAATAAATTAAAAAATAATAAAATAATATTTTGAAAACAAAAACAAATAAAATGGAATTGAGTTTATTTTGAAGGAGAAGGAGAAGGGAAAAGTTCCGAAACGATGAGAGGAATTAGTAGTAATTTAGAGTTAAGGAGAACGAAAATTGAATAAAATAAAATACCTGAAGAGTCCTTGAAGGAACATCTGGAGTGACACAGAGAAGAAAGCGTTGAAAATTGGAGAGAGGATTTCCGAGACGAAGAAGCGAAGAGGAGGACATAATTTTCTCAAGACAGAGACAGAAAACCGCGTCCAACGTTGCAGTGATCGAATAACAAAAACAGAAGAGCATAGGCCACATAAAGATCAGTGGATTATGAATTGACAAAGTTTCCTTCTCAGCGCTGGTTCCTCAAAAAGGCATAAGAATAAGTCAACATGTAATTATGATTTAAAAAAAAAAAAAAAAAAAAAAAGAGAAACAAAGCTGGAATGCATTGCAATTTGTGATGCAGTGTGAAACGAGATGGAGTGGCATTGACGATAATAAATGCAATAGAGATAGAGACAAACTCACTGAATTAAGAGGAGAAACAAATCATTAATTGCCCTCTCGTCTTGTTCTTTAGTGAAACGCTTCCATTGTCAAAGTGCGAAGGAATATGCAGAGAGAGTAAAAAAAAAAAAAAAAAAAAAAAAAGAGTTGGTGAAGTTTAACGTTTAGAAGAGAATGAAAAGAAAGGAAGTGGTTGGTGGCGAGGGAGTGAGAGTTCGGTGCGCCGCGTGTGATGAAGACAGTGTCAGTGTTGATTGTTCTGATCTATAAGCCTTATGTTTTGCATTGTTTGTTTCTGTAGTTTCCCTTTTTTCTTTATTGTTTATCCTTTGGTCGTTTCTTGCGGATTGATTTTAATTTTGTCTTGGTCACGTGCTTATCACCTGCTTCTGTTGGAGTAATAGATATGCCAAGCTGGATTGTGGTTAGTGGGTTCATTCGTAAACCCCACTTTTGTGGGTTGAGTTTAAGAGGTTAATTTATTTTTTATATATATATTTCTAAATAATTTTATGTTTAAATAATATTTTAATTTTATAATTTAACTCTATTTTTTAGTAATTATTTTTATTATATATATTTTTATGTATAGTGTCTTTTTTGATAAAAAAAAATATTAGTTTGCTTCTTTGTATGAACAAGTTTAATTTCTTTAATTAATTTTACAAATATTAATAAAATTATAGGTTGAAAAGATAATATATATTGAAATATTTCAATTAAAAATTTTAAAAAAAATTAATGGATTGGAAGTTGGTCAATTTGTCAACGAATCAATCTATTAAAGTGAGTCAACTTATCAACTTATATTTAAGTGAAATGATTTATATTTTTTAATTCATTTTTTTTAGACTTACCTTATTTCTTTGGTGTGTCATCGTATTTAAGTGGATTGACTTATCTTGTTACCCTTACAAAATAATATTTTAAATACGGTTTGAAATATTTAGTAATATAAGATTTTTTATTTGATATTTTATTTTAGTTAATAATCATGATCTATCAATATTTTAAAGTTGACAATCAAATAACTAATTTATAAAACATATCTTTGTTAATCAAATATTATTTTAATGTTGTGAAAATTGAATAATTTAAATTATAATATAAATTAATAGAATATAAGATTGAAATTTAAAAAGGTTTAAAAAATAAATAAATAAATCACGTGATATTTGATATTTTTTAATATAAAATAGTTTTTATAACATAATTAAAAGTTTTTTAAAAAATATATAAAAATCTAATGATATTTAATTAAATTTTTTTATACTTAAAAAAATATTTTGATATTTAAAATATAAACATTTCAATAGACTGTTTTTTAAGATAAATTTTATGATATTTTTTAATATAAATTATATATAACAAACTAATCCAACAATTTTCCATAAACGGTAAGATTTTAAGTAACTTTTTTTATATATTTTTTTCCCTCTTCTTCTTCTTGTGTATCTTTCTCGCTTTTCTATCTTTCTCCTCTCTTTCTATCTTTCCACTTTCTATTTCCACCTTTTCCTTTTTCTCCCCTTTTATCTTTTTTTTACTTTGCTATATTCTTTTTTCTTCTTTCTATTATTTCTCTTATCTTTATTTTATCTTTTAATTTTAACATTAAATTTATAAATATTTATTCTTTTGAATTATGAATATTTAAAATCATTTTGAATCAATAAAATATAAGCTATTGTAAAATTTTTATTATTTTTTTTGAGGGAATAAATTTTTTATTATTAAATATTTGAATTTTGACTAATGTTAATTTTTAATGTTAAAATTTTAAATATGTAAATATATATTAAAAAATTATATATGGTAAAAAATTAAATCTATTAAAAATTTTGAATTAAATTATCCCACAAAACAATTATAATATCAACAATTTTTAATTTTATAACTTTTCATGAAATTAAAATCGAGAAAAATTGTTTATAAATTAGTGTGTGAAATGTACCTTCAAAAGAGATAAAAGATAAAACATTAAAGATGAGTGATAATGAGATTGATAGTTTTATTTTTAAGTTATAAGCAAAATGCAATGTCAATTTTCTTTTTGTAACTATAGTATTATTATATAATATCTACCATTAAAAGTAGTGATTACTTTCCATCATAAATCGTTAAAAAATACAAATTGTTATTATTTAGACCAACCTATATTGATAATATACAATTTCATAAATTTTTTCAAGATTTTTTTTTATCATAGTAATAACTCTTAACATTATTTTTTTTCTCATAACAATCTTCATTTAGTGTTAACAAATAACAAATAACAAATACCATGTTTTTGAACTTAATGTTCAAATCTAAGAATATAAATGAGAAAATGTCAATATGTTAAAGACTATGTAAAAAAATGTCTTGACATGAAATTACAATTAATTATCTATTATTTATTAAAATATTTAAAATTGATACTAATTTTATCTTTTTAACTCAGATCTTATCACTTGTGTTATCTTTTTCATTAATTATATTATTTTTTAAAATTAATATTATCCTATAAAATCTCATTAAATATTTCTAAATCTTATAAATTTTTATGATATTATTAAAATATTAAAAAAATAAATGTGTAGCTCTCTATTAATAGTACCCTTTCATTACTTACCTTTTTTTTCCTTTCAAAATACTTCTTAATTTTATTTTTATTCTCTAATTCTTGGATTTCACAAACCCTCTCCCAATTGTTTTTTTTAGAAGAAACACCCCTCCCAATTAATTATACAAAATAAATAATTATCTTATGCATTATGCATACTAAAATGCTAACTTATATTGATCATGTATAATTTATTAACGAGTTAAGTAGCATTACAAACATTTCATATAAAAAATATAGTTAAAAAAATACAATAAAACTATAAAATAATGCATCATTATTTTAGATAGTAGAAAAGTAGAAATAATGCAGTAATGAAACACAAATTAAATTTTTTTAGTTGTTTACATTTTTAAGATTGATACTTTTAAAAATTTAACATGACTATGATATAAATTAATTGTAGGCTCGTCAAAAATTTTTCCTTAAAAAACGATTCAAAAATATATATACACAAATTGGTATGACATGTTAATTCAGTAACAATATATTGTGTGGTGCTTATTGCTCTAAGGCCTATATGTGTATATTAATAACACACTTTGTATATTAGCTTAATAACGCCAAAAAAAATTGTTATTACTCAATGCTTTTGACTTTTAATTACTTTTATTTATAATCAATTTCGGTTAAGTATCTTTGAAATACAAATTTAATAGCTGGTAACTTTGATTGTTTTGAAGCTTTTTTTTTTTTTTTTTGCATGTTTCTTCCACGTTTTAAAAATAAAAAAAATTGGCAAATGAAGAAGAATTTCAAAAGTTTTGAAAACCATGTGATAATTGAATTCTTATAATAATCGGTTCCTTATCATTTTTAATACCGAATTTTCATGGAAAGAAAACTGTTATATTTTGATATTATTTTCATGATTATGCGCCCAACTTTAATTAACTTGCTAAATGAAAATTGACGTAGTTGGTCATAATAATATTGTGCATTAATATATGTTTTGTTTGCATCTTATATTCTCGGGAAACATGTTTTTAGAAATTAATGTATAAAATATTTTTTTAACTGTCACTTATTATTATTTCCAAAGAATATTTTATCTCATACATCTCATGGATACACATACAATTAAAGATAGATAAAAATATATACATAAAAAGAGAAAATGTTAAAATATTCTAATAAAGAGAATGAAAAGAGCTAGTGGAATTGTCAAAATGAGTTATTAGTTTAGTTTGAATTTTACAGTGATCATTGGGTGAGCAAAATTTGATCACTTTATTTATTTTTATATGAAATTAAAAGTTAAATTAAAAGCTTTACCAAAAAAAAATTAAATTAAAAGGCTTAAATATATTTTTAGTCCTTCAAATTTAGGGTAAATCTATTTTTGATCCCTCAAATTTAAAATTATTATTTTTAGTTCCTGTAATTTCAAAAAAATCTTAATTTAGTTTTTATATTCAAATTTTGTTAAGAAATTTATCAAATATTATTGCATAGAATCTACCTATTGGTGTCCTTATTAGTGAAAATATTACATTAAATCTAGTTGATATTGAATAACTGTCTTAATTAGTCACTTTCAAGTATGTTATTGGTGACCTAAGAGACTAAAACAAAATTTTTAAAAATTACAGGAACTAAAAATAACAATTTTAAATTTAAGGAAAAAAAAATTTATCTTAAATTTAAAGACTAAAAATATATTTAAATCTAAATTAAAATTATCAGGCCCGACACTTTTTGAACATGTAATTTTACTGTTCGAACCTACTTTGTTTGGCCCAAAGTTTGTTTTTGGTTTTTATGATATGGAGCCCAACTAGTGAATGAGTTTGACACTTTGACAGTGAGAGTCTTAAAAATATATGTATGTTATAATTTAGAATACATACTTAACGATTATCATCCTATAAATATCAACGGTAAGGGTTCATCCACGCTTAAGAAATGTCAAGAGTTCAAATTTTGTCTTGTATTTGTAGTCACGTTAAATCTTGAGGCTAGTTATCCCACTTTTTGAAGTACCTCCCTCGTAGTCAGGCGATTAGTCATTACTATCAGTCCTGAATACTTTAAGGACGAAAAAAAAATCTTATAAATACTTTTATTTAAAATTTGTATATAAACAAATATAACAGATTAAAAAAAACTATTAATATACTTAATTTTTACATTTTGACATAAATTATACATTATGTATATATATATATATATTTAAAATAGGTTAAATTAAGTGAATAATGAATAAAAGGTTAAATAAAGGAAGAAGAGGAAGAGGATAACACGAACAGAGGAGGCGGCGGCGTTTTGAAGTGCGAAGGGTGTTGTGGTTTGTGTGAGTGTTAAAATCCCTCCTCCTTCCTTAAACTCTTGAAAGCGTCCGCAATGTTCCGCAGAATCTTGTGCCATCATCGCGCACTCTCAGCCTGCACTCACAATGCCACGCGCTCTCTCGCTACTCGCCACGCCCCCAACGTCACTCACCCTCCCTTCCTAATCACACCATCAAGGCCTCTTTCTTCCAAATCATCTCAATCCCGCGAACCCAACGATAAGGTGAGTCAGTCAGTGAGTCAGCCAGCGAGTCATTTTCCGCGTCCAATCGAAACCTAATTTGACCTATTTCGTTTTGCAGGCGAAAAAGGACGTAGCCAATGTCGACGATCCCTTCAGTGCCCCAACCTATAACATTCCCGAGAAGCCAGTGACGTTCGTGGAGGGCGCCTCTTACAGCGTTGTCATTCTCGCAGGGCTCGGAATCGCGGCTGCTGCTGGATATGCTGTTTTCAAGGAGCTTATATTTCAACCTAAGGAGTAAATTGCTTCATTGTTTTTTTTCTTTTCTTTCTTCTCTTTAAGGAAAATGCCACATGTTTTTTTTTCTGTAAAAATTTAAATTTAATTGTTGTGAGCTGGTGACAGGTACAAGATCTATAGCAAGGCTCTCAAGAGAATTCAAGATGACGGTCAGGTCAGTTGGGTTTTTCGTTCATTTCAACTTTCAAATATTATGTTTTGGAGACTTGTAATGTTATGATGGAAGTTCATTTTCAACTTAACCAATTTATATTAGAGTCTGGTTAGGTACAATATTAGAAGAGCTTTTGGGGACTTTCTTTATTGAAAAATACTCTTTATTTTTAGTAGAGAAGCTCTCAGGCGATTCTAAACTTATATTCAAACAGACTTTAAATTATGGGGGCTAATCCTTGTACGCTTCAGTGAACATTGATTCATGCTACATTTTTAGATATGTAATTGAAAGGGGTGGGGGGAGAGTGCATGCATTCGAACAATTTTGTAATTGGCTAATTGCTCTAGATCAAACGGTGATTTGTAAGTTAGTTTTGGACTGCGTAATGGGTAGTAGTAGTAGCTGATTCTATACCAGCTGGCTGATTTTATGTTCACTTGCAATGATTTTGCTCTGTACCAGGTACGAGTCAGGATTGGATCTCCGATTACTGGTTATGGTCAGGAAAGTAGAAATCGAGCTGCTCGCCAAAGAATTCCTCACAGGATATGGACTGATGAAGATGGAGCTGAGCATGTAGAGGTGAATCTGTCAGCATTACTCAAATTTATTTGTAGATTTGTACAGATTTTATTTTATGAGAACTATTTTGATATGTTCCTGGGATAAAAAGAAGGTTGGGAGGGAGGAGATGAATATAGAAGTGAAAGGAGAGAAAAGAGGCAAGGTATAGGAGGATTTTACTGGATATATTGTTGAATAGTTCCTCTGTGTCGGCTAACCCCCTTAATAGTTGGCTACAATATTATAGTACTAATAGGTTAGTTAGCTATTTGTTAGTTATACTAGTTAGTTAGTTGGGAGCTGCGATAATCAGAGAAATAAGGTATGTCACCTATAAATAAGAAAAGGGGTTGAGAGAAGGGGGATTGTATCAAGTTGGAAGGCTTGGACTCTTAGGGAATGAGTGAGAGGTCAGGGTTTCTCGGGGAGCATTAGTGTAATTTATTACTTGCTCTGTTACCAGAGAATTGTTCTAGAGAATAATACACAGTTCTGTTTCATTTCTTCATCTATTTTCTTCTCTGAGCTGATCCAGTTCTATCACTGCCTTTTCAAATTCTTAAAATTTCGTTTATGGTGTGGAAGATACTTATTATTTAGTGGCCGTGTCTTTATATTTAAGATACCGATATGGTTCTTACTCAAATATGTTAATTTGGGTTACAGGTTAATTTTTATATCCGGGGCCCTCATGGACATGGAAAAGTATTCTCCGAGATGTTCAAAGGCCAAGCTGACAATGAATGGAAGTTTACTTACTTGATTGTTGAGATTAGAGCACCTTCTACAGCACAAATAATTTTGGAGTCATACATACCATCTTACAATGCAACCAAGTAGCCTAGATGGGAAAAGGTTTTTTTTTTTTTCTGTACCATTTACTGATTACTCAATCTGTAGATACTAGATTGTTTTGTGTTTCTGTTTGATGTGGAGGTCATACTTTTCACAACACAGAGTATATACCCTGCTTCAAAATGTTATTTAATTATCTTCTGTTCTTCACATTCCATTAACTGATTAACCTGATCATTTATATATATACCTTGCACTTTGTCCGATTCCTTCATGAATGCCCCGAATATCTCACTTAAGCTCTTGATTACATTGGCTTGTTTGTGAATATCAGGCTATAGGAACTGTTCAATGCTTTTTGGTGCTTTCGCTGTGTTCCTGTTATCTTATGTGTGCCAGCCTTGCAAAATATACTCCAAATTTTTTTACTAGGAGTAAAAATTCCTTTTACCTGTTGGTACTTCAGTCCAATTTGTATGTAAAATTCATATTCATATTATTATTTTCAAATTTCATTCATACAAATGAAGCTTGAAAAATCTTAAGAATACTGAACTTCTGATTGTATACTAGAAGCAAAAAATCGTTTTACCTGTTGGTATTATAGTCCAATTCATATACAATTCATATTTTCATGCATACAAATGAAACTTGAAGAATCATAAGATTTCTGAATTCCTGATTGTATACTAGAAGGAAAAAATCCTTTTACCTGTTGGTATTATAGTCCAATTCGTATATAATTCATATTTTCATGCATACAAATAAAACCCGAACAATAATAAGAATTCTAAAATACTTAATGCAGGTCTTTAATATTTGGTCCATTACTGGAGGCTGCATTTTTCAGCTATCAGCATTGATCACATTATAGCCAGTCCATGTTTCATAAGGGATGAAAGAAGGAAAGACAATTAAAGAAAGTCAAATAATGTGAGAAACTGGATCCCAAGTCTCAGGTTCAATATTTTTGTGTTTTTTTTTTTGTTTTTCCATTTAGAACCTGCAGATTTGAGGAAAAGTTTGGGGCAAGGATCTTAGTAACCATGACCAGAGCAATTACTGTGTCCTTGACAGCTATTGAGAATTTCATCTACCAATTTGTTGTTATTGCTGACAATTCTACATGGCTTGGTTTGTGAAGTACATTGAGTAGCTGGTTGTAGCATGCCAAATTTAGGATGAATATATAAGGTTATTGAAGCCAAAAACGAAAATTGATATGGATCATATAAGATTGATGTTGATTATTACCACACAGATAGTAAGGATGTTTCATTGATTTCACCTATTTTGATACGCCAACAGAAAGAGATCTTTATAGTAAAATGGTGCAGTGTTGGGTAACGTAACCAAATTATTGGTCAGTATAATAAAAACTATAAACCTGACTACACTAGATCCATTATTTATACATATCCATATTTATTCCATTTCATTTACCTTATTATTTCTTCTCTTTAGCATCTATGTATGACTATAGAGACCAATGGGTCTTTCCGTCTGTGTTCTATTCTATAACTAGTTATGCCTGTGAAATTTTTAAAAGAGAAATTAATGATACTTCTCCTTCATATAAATAATATTGCGCTAGTTAGATCAGTAAACATGTGACTATAGCTCGGTCCAAGTGCAACATCTTTGAAAGCTGTTTATATGCCACAACCACGATTTCCTTTTTCCATAACTCTATACCACATGATGGGATGGGCTCTAGAGACCCAAAAGAAGAAAAAATAAATGGTTAAAAGATTTTATATGATGAAGTTCAAATATTTTTGTTTTTGTCTTTTAATGTTGTTTTATTTTAATTTTCTGAGACAAGATGATGACACTTGTGATCATCTATAGTAACTATTAAATTATAATTTTTTATCTCTTTAATCTTGGAAGGTTTCAATGAAAAATATCTTATTTTTTATTTTATTTTCTTGTAGCTCTAATCGTAGACTTTAGATAGTTTTCCAGTAGTATAGGTCTAGCATCCTAACACCACATCTATATAAATTCTCATTGCTAAACGAGGGAACTTGAATTTAACACATTGGTGCATGAATTAATAGGAATGTTTTTAATAAAATGATTATAGGCACCACAGGTCCACAATCTATGTATCTAGTGAAAAATAAGGTAAATGAAATGGAATAAATATAGATATGCATAAAAATAATGAATTATTGAAATTTTTGTGGTTTGGTCTCTATGGTTTAAGTGTTATATTAATGTTGTAAAAAGAAAGTGTTATATTGAACAATAATTTGGTTAGTTTATCAAATAATGCATCATTGCTTTAGAAGATTTGCACTTGCATTGCGTTTTCATCACTTACTGTAATAATATTATTGTTTTGTGGACGCTGTTTATATTGAAGAATTCAGACAAAAGTGTACAATGCTTTGACGTTCAGATTTAAATTTGTATTTAAAATGATATTTTTGTGTGTAACAACTGACGATATGTAATAGATTTTTATTAATTACTATCATCATCAAATAATAATGGATAAAAGTATTTATGAAAAATATAATGCATATGAAAAATATTTATTTTTATATAATTAATATTTACAAAAAAATAATTTTAAATATGTCAATTATATATTACATTTATGATAAAAGATTTATATTGTTATATAATTTTATTTTTAAATATTGGAAATTCTTTAAAAAGCATTGAAAATAAAGATGAAAATAATAAATTGAGAGAGATAAACAATCAAGAAATTTCAAGTATATAGATAATGATAAAGTTTAAAAAAAAAAGTAATTAGTTTACAAAATATTATATTTTGAACTTGATGTTAAATCAAAATAAATTTGAAACTAAAATTAATAAGTATATGTGAAAGAAATAGAAATAATAATAATAATAAATAAATAAATATAAAATATAAAACAAAAAATAAAAATAAAAAAGCACAATGACAACCTTATCTTAATTATATTATCTTCGCAAATCAAAATACAACACGTAAGCTTTACATCTCATCCAAAAAAAGAAAATCAAGTATAATTTCTACCAAATACAAGCATTGAAATCGTAATTATGAAAACCTAACTCCTAATAAACTTACACAAAACTTTGTTTTTATCTTTTTACTATACATAGCTATCAACTCTCATCAAACTTTGTGTTTACCTTTTTAATCTCTTCTTCCAAATGAGGAGTATTTGTAGGCATAATCTATTTGCTCATCCCATTGAAGAGATTTGCCACCACCCTATCACTCAATTCGGTCATAATGATTTTCTTATTCACCAACCTTCTCAATGATTGCTTTGTTAATAATGAAGGTTGGATCTTCCTTGTAGAATGCTTCTGTAGTGAGATTAGGATCCCATTGTGATGTCACATCAAGATACATATTCACATGATCTAACCTTACCAAGAGATGACTAATATCGAATCTTTGATAAATACATCTTAGTCGAGTTGTAGGTTTGACTTAAGAATTGGATGGTTAAACATGAGAACTTTGATAAATGTAGTTTGACAAGGACGATGAACAAATTGTCACTTTTTTACGAAGTTAAGTTATATTGGAGAGAGTTCCAAATCTACTTTTATATTTACCAACATCACTCCTTGATGACATCATGCTAAGGGGCCAAATCCACAAGTAGCCAAGAAGAGTGAGTTAGACCTAAAGAAAGAAGATCCAAGTTCTTATTGAGTTTTGAGTTACTTTTAGTAGCTTACTTTCTATTCTTTGTAAATATTTTTTTAATTTTTGACCTTGTATTTTTTAGTTAAGTAGCACATGAATTTATTTCCTTGTAATTCCTACTTTCAGGATGAAATTAATATTTTGAGAGGGGTGTAATTAGAAAAAAGAAGTTTTGGACTTATATTAGGCTTAAATGACCCATGAGAGCATCTCTTGGATGCATAGCCTTTGAAGTTGACATCCACTTATGTGGGAATCAAGTGGTGGGCATCCACTTGTAAGGAAACCAAGTGGTTAGATGTCAACATATTAAAGGGAGGACAAGATGTTCCATGGTTCATTCAAGACTCTAACAAACTCCAATAAACCACATGACCTTGTTTAATCACACCAAACATGTAACTAGAATTGATTATCTTGGGTACAAGTTAACTAACCTTGATTACAATTAACTAAGATTAGTCTAGATCGCACCATAACCTAATCAAACCCTATATATACCTTTGTGCCACATCTACATGCCACTTTTGAAGTAAATTGAGAAATAAACTCAAATTTTTCTCTTTAAAAGTCTTAGTTCTTTCTCTTGAAGAAATTATCTCCTTATGAATTTTTATCAAGAAATTTCTCATTATAGCAACTTCTTCACATTCTTACTTATCTTCATTTGAAGTGGTGCATACTTTCTCCTTCCTCCTCCACCCTTGTTGATTTTCTTTGAAGCTTTCAAGTCTATGAAAGAAGATTGGAAGCACATTGAAGCTAGTTGAAGAGAATCAAATATTATTTCTAAACTAGTTTCGTCACCCCTGACCCACTCATATCCAAGTATTATAATCAACGTATGAGATTCTTTTTTGCTATTTCCTCCTTTTTTTTTTTGTTTCTTACTATCACTATCAATATTATCAACAGTACTCATTTCTTTAGACAATACACTTTTCCTTTTTTAGCTTTAATTTTTCCATTATCTAATTTCTTGGAAATTGTTCTACTTGAAGATTTCTTAGAACATGATAATCCACTTAAGGTCGTAATGAGTATGAGAAGAAAAAAAACAAGCAGAATCCCTTTTTTTCTCCATACAGTAAAAATGGAAACACTTAAATTCAACACTAAAGAACAAATATATGAAGGGAAGACAAATTGTAATACTTGGAAAAAAGAACAAAACTTGAAGAAATGAACTATTGTTCACCTAATGTATAAAAAATATCAGAGTAGGTGAATCAACCAAGTAACTTATCCTTTCACTCCATGAATATGATAATCAATTCTTGAAATCTGTCTTGAGGTTACCACAAAGGTTAAAGAACATCTTCTTGCAAAGAAAAATGCTTCTTAAAGAGTATTTTTGAAAAAGATATCACAAAGAATCAAGTCTCTCTGTTCAAAGTATGAAAAAAGATATATATACACACACACACACACACACACACACACACACACACACACACACACACACACACACACACACACACACATATATATATATATATATATATATATATGTTTTCTAACTGAAATAATTGATTATTAACATGGACAATCAATTATTTTGTTCTTAGAAAATATGGAAATCAATAAAAAAAAATTTAATGGATTATTTGGAGCAATAATTGATTATTACAATAACTGTTCCCCAGGTTACTAAAAAATAGAACAAATAATTGATCATTACTTAAAATAATCAATTAATTTAAGTGAAAACTTAATATCTTGATTTTCATACCATTTCTCTTTACAAATCAATTCTAAAATATATCTTAATCATTATAAATCATCTAGATAGAGATAAAATACTAAGTTACTTACCAAGCACAAAGCACACAAACAACAAAACTTAAAACACTCAAAACACAAAACCAAACACATGTTGCACTCTTATCTTTTAAGAGACTTATTTGTAATCATCAAAATCAATTAAAACCATGTCTTCATCTTGAATTTGATCAACAAACAAGACCTTAATACGATACAATAATGCTCCACATGCTTTTGCATTTGAGCCTAGGGGGTTGTATACCCTACAAGTAGCTCAAATACCAATCCTTTGTTGGATCGATATTTCAGTGATTAATTATATACGTTGAGTATGCCTTGGCATCCGGAGACTTGCCCTACTATGCAAGAAGAGCAACGTAATTTATGAGATAATGAGATGTTTATGATATACGATTATTTAGTCTTTAAAGTGATAAGATCCAAGAACTAGTACTATGTTACAATCAATCAAGGATTTAGGAGTAAAAGATAAGGGGTCCTGATATGTAGGTGTGCTTAATATATATAGGAGGACATTCTAGGGTCTAGGGACAAGTTAGACTTATCGAATGTTCTAGGTCAGAATAATCGCTAAATTTTCATAGTATTTTGTATCACTGAGATTTTTTTAATAATAGTCCCCTTACCAAGATAATTTTCATAATCTTAATTGCAAAACACCTTAAGGTCTAAAGTTTTTTTTTTTCCCTTCAAAGATCTCATATGTTATATTTTCATAGTACACTACTCTTATATGGAAGGAAGTGTTTGTTGTCATTTTTACACAAATAATTTTCAACCTAAAGATTCTAATTAATTTACTAATGAAGTTACAATTAATTCCATTAAGGATCAA